CCTCCCAGAGGCTAGGGCCCAAAGGAACAAAGAGTAAGGTCACAGAAGTCAGCTGGCAGAAAAGGCAGCTGAGATCTTAGCATTGCTATTGCTCTTTTGGCTCAGGAAGCAGAGTTGTGCTAGGGAATGGTTCTAAACTCACTGTAGGTTCTGTGGATGTCCATTTGATTGCACATAATGAAACTTCTATTTTGGTTCACTTTAATCATAAAACCAGAAAGTGATGTTTTTCAGCTTCAGATTTTTTATGTTACATCAACAACAATAGCAAAAAAAGACTGACTTTGCAGCAGGATAGCTGAAGATTATAGTATCTTAGAGAGTTTTTCAAAGGAAAGGTACATCACTCAGGGTTTCTCAATGACTGGTCTTGCTGGTTAAAATTCTGATGATATCTCAACAGTACTTGTTCTCCTGCTTCTAAATCCTACCAGTTCTTAGGAAATGATCCCTGAATTGTGGTCCGTATTGCAGTGTATTATTTTTCAAAATCACAGTTCTGCAAAAGCAGCATGGAAAGATATCCAGCAAACAAATACGTAAGCAAAACAATAGTATTTACCAACAGCTGTTTAATTTGCAACTGCATATATCTGCTTATAAAGGCAGGCAATGAGCTTTCATAATGAATTACTGAAAGGATCTGTTTAGTCTCTTAGCTAAAATCCTGACAAGTAATATCAAACAATTTGATATAGCACTGGTCAAAATTTTCAAAGCCAGCAAGCTTACTCACCACCGCCATATGAAAATGCACGAACAGAACGACCATCATAGCCAGAAGAATGTCCACTGTTGAAAAGAAAATGCATGTAAAAATTGAGTTTTACCACCAGGCTATCACCAGCAATAAATATATTCCCCTGAATTCTTACCACCACACACATGAAAACAAAGCGTTTGTTATAAATGGATTTAAGTCCTCTATTTTGAGCATTACTACTTAAGGCAGCTATCTATCAACAGACACGTTATATTTCATGTGTTAATACAGAAGGTGAAATAGCATTCTTCTTAAAATTTAAAACAAAAATATGTATATTGTCAAAGCTGTTCTTTTGCGTTTTTAATGCATTTTCTATTTCAAATGTTTCTTGTATCATAAGTTGTTTCTGCACAGATATTGAACTTAACCTCCGAGTCCTTGAAAGCTCATTCATTCCTTCATGAATTAAGCCATTCTCATTCTCTCTGTTAAAAAGTAGGTATGTGAGCATATCAGAGAACAGGTGGACCTCAAATGTGTAGCTCTAGAAATAAACCATTAAATTAGCTCCACATTTTCTAAGCTGGCTTCTTTCAGTGGTAGCCAACTCAAGTAGGTAAAAACCAGAAAGGTTAAAAATGATGATAAATGCACAAGACATAATTCATATATATATAGTTCTTTCATGACTTTTAGGACTTCCTACATAACTTGAATGAATTATCTTTGCAGCATTTAACCTAAGTGTCACTTCTGTTTTGAAGGCACTTTAAGTCCTGGGTTAGCTTAGTTTAAAAACAAAACATAACAAATGATAATGACAGGTCAATGGAACATCTTAAGATCTAAAAGCACGAGATTTAGTTCCTAGATTCCAAAACAAGCTTTATTTTTTCACATCATATTTCATAAACTATATAAATATTCACAAGTAAATGCAATGACCACTGCTTAACAGTCAGAAACAGCAGTCACTCACAGCAACTGTCAGCATGAAATAATAAATTTACTTTCATGCGCATCAAATGCCTCCAGTTAGGGTTTTTTTCTGAACTAAATCAGATGAAGATTTTCTCAGAGATTTACCATCATCAACCTCTAGTATCTATGTTAACAGAATTTTCAATTTCAAAGGACCAGATGTGTGCACCTTCCTTCAGCGAAATCCCAAAGACTGGCAAGAGGCTTGCACCATCTTCTTAGGCGAGCTTTGCATATGATCTCGTTTTGGCCTCTAGCAAAATATAAATTTTTCAAGGATTTTGCTGGCCACCTTTTTATTCTTCCTTTTATGTACAAATATATATAAATAGATATATGTATATAAAAATCTATGCATGCACATACATATATGTACATAAAAAAAGGTACTGAAAAAATACTGTTAGGCCTATTAAAGCTGAACACTTAGAAGAAACACAGTAGAAATACAAATTTGGATTCCGTGGAACTCTGACATTTCCTATAGCTTATGAAGACTTGAGCCTGTGGCCAAACTGTTTATTTGCATTTATAGTAGTTGACAAGCACACGGTTAAATAAGCCTTCAGACTACTAAAGAATACTTTAACAATCGTTACCTTGATCTTGATTTTAAGGATTAGCACTGATATAGTGTCATAACTCAACTAAACTAATAAGTGGTCAATAACCTACTCAAAAGAATATTAAGTGTAAGGTGAGATTAGTAACACTTCTGTAAAAATACTGTAGAAATCTGAAACTGTCTCCCTACTCCCAGATAAAATCTATAAAACACTGGGTAGTGTAAGAGTCCTTGCGAATGAATTTCAGTTACAGAACACTGATACATTGCTTTATAAGATTTCAAACAGATAATCACCTGTCTATTGTGGGTATGAGGGATGGTGGAGGGCCGCCAGGTGGTGGTGGAAAGCCTGTAATAATAAATTAGGTGAAGGGGGGAAAAGGGAAAAAAAAAAACCCAAGCACATTAAATAACCAGGCTAAGCACGCAATGGAAAACAAATCCCAGGCAGTACAACCCAAAGGCAGAGTAGTAAACAGATACTGTCAGTGCTTCAAATCTAACACCTTAGCATTCTCAAAACTACAGTAACAGAGAAACATAGGAAGATTCCTGAGTATCTAACAATACTTAATAAACAACAATCACAGTATTTTCTGCATAACTAAAAAAAAAAAAGAATGGAAAGAAAAGAAGGAAGCACACATCTAAAACTGGCTGATTAGGCCCAGTAGGCAACAGCATTTTAATACATTTTCTTTTCTGCGTGGCAACAAAATAACTGAGTCTACATCTATACATATAATTTTGTATTTATGAAAATTTATCTATATAACCAAAAGAAAGTTGATAAGTTGCACATCAGTTAAGCTTTCATCTCTTGACCAAATGTGGAAAAAATTCTAAGCAAGTTTACCTGGTGGTGGCACTGTTATTGGTATACCTAAAGAGATAACAAGTAATATATCAGTTATAGAAATTGTTCACGTTTATTATCTGTAGATTTAAAATCAGATTGAGTTATCACCACATATATGATCAAGAAGAGTACTATTTTATTTGCTGTGTTCAGATCAAGATCTCACATTAACACCAATTGTTAAAATTTTATACAAGCCTTGTGAAATCTAGCTGCTTCTATAAATTTCTATTCTTCAGGATCTTATCTAATTAGGGGAAAAAATAATGAAGACTTACTCTGGGTCTCAAGATCTGAATTAAATCCATAACCCTAAAATGTTTAGTATCCAGAAAGAAAGTAATATTCCATAGAATATATATGCTTTATTTTATATTCCATGACTGGATGAAAGGAAACTCAATTGGCCTCTGACCTTTAATAGCTTAGGATAGGAAATAGTAGGTCCATATGGACAAAATATTCTAGCAACAGTAAGCATTACAGACTTTTCAGTCAATGCTGTGCCACACTGCAATTAATCATTCCGTTAATACTTGGAGGGGAAAAAACCCTTCAGTACTCTATTGTAAGTATCTGAGAAAGGAGCATCCTTTAATACAAACTCCTTTAAAAATCTGTTCTAACTTTTCTGGTTTTCAGATCGAGCTTCGCTGTTACGAATCTAACTAAAAGCTGAGAAAATGCTCCCGACTCAATTAGCTGACCTAACAAAATATACTGCTTCAACATACAAACTGATTTTATTTGATTATGAAAGGAATAATTACAAAGTAAAAATCATTTTACCTTGTAAAAGGTACACTTTAAAGGACGTTATCTTCTCACACTTTGCAAAGAACTAACTTTACCTCAACTGAACGCACAGAACACCACTACATGAAAATAATAAACTGGGCTGCAACAATATTGTCAGAAAATAGACGACTTTACCAGGCATAAAGCTCTTTCAGTTATGAGCACCTCTGCTTCCCTTAAAAAAATAAGTACTTTCAAGCTGACAACTCACTGCAAGACGTTGGGGGAAGAGAACAGAAAACCTGCCAAGTGCTTCCATCAGTTTTGCCATAACTGCATAAAGATCCACACAGAACAGCCAGACCCACTTAAATGAAAACCCATCTTGTTCAAGTTCTAGCCTTCATCATTCAGAGAGCATCCCAGATGTACTCCATGATTAATTTTATGCATATATCATTAGTCCAACATTGCAATTAAAAGATTGTATGGCAGCAACATTTAACTACATCTACATATTATAATGTCTAGAAATAACTGCTCCCAAATTGCCTTGGCAGAAGAACAGAATGAAGGAATATGCAAGCTGAGGAAGAGTAATCAATATCAATGTCCATTAATTGCTGGTTTAATAACCAGCATTAATCCTATAGGATTAAACAAACTGTGAAACAAAATCGAGGTTGCTTTCCAATTCTGAAGATTTAAAATCTAATCTTAGACAAAATGTAAATCAGGAGACAGTAAACCCCAAAAGCCAAATTTCTCATTTTCTGTTCATCAGCACACAAGCTTTCCAAAGCGCACTATCATTGTTAAGAACACTGGAAATCACACTAGTAAAAGTTTGACAGCGTAACACTTAAAAGACCACTCCTAATGAAAATTTGTGAAAAGGAAGGCTGCAAACTCAAACTGTTGCATAGCTGAAATATTTTCTATTCATCTTTTTTGGTTACTGTCCATCTCAATAGATTCTTCATAAGTCTACAATATAGAAAACATATATATAAAAACACCTCTTAACAACAATGTCAAGACCATAAGCTAGAAAAATATCAGAAGTTCTCTCAGTTCATTAGCTCTACCTTATGCTTAAAAATATTCAATTCTTGCACTAAAAACAAATATACTATTAGCAGTGAATATAGCTCTCAGCACTATGCACAGACTTTCCTGGAAAGCATCAGCTAATACTCTTTTTAAAAAGGAAGGAATTCTGATTAAACAATTAATATATCCCTCAGAATTTTATCTTGTATAGAAATACGGATAAAATCTCATCACAAGGTTAAAAGACAAATGAAAAATTTCATCTGAGAGCCATTCAAACAAATTAAGACAAATTAATGCAACTAATATCCAGATACCAAACACCCTAATACTTTTAATGCATTGGTTAATGCAGAGTATGACACTAAAAAAAAAAAAATTCACATGGGCACTTTTTCCTCAAAAAACTTTAGGAACATTTAAAAAGCGATGAACATATCATTTCAAGACAGAAGCTAATTTACTTGGTGGTATTATAACAGCAGAAACATTCTTCTTTACTCCAAGATAGAAAGTATCACTAAAAAGAGCTAAATGAAGGGTTTTTCCTCATCTTCTTCACTAACACACGAACGTGACACAAACCAAAAATGAAACCCAACAAAAAAATCACAAACTTCAGCTAATGGAAAATTAAATCTCTCTTAACTCTTTACTCCTTCCTAATGCAGTGTAATAAAATATACTTGAAGCATCATCAGTCTATTACTTCTTCTGAGAAAGAAAAAAAACCTTTCAAACATTGAGTCATTTCTTGCAATACAGGGACTAAAGTTAAGTACCAGCACGAGAAGGTAATTTAGTGTAGATTATGTCACTTCTCTACAACACCTTGTACCTGACCTAAACCTAATAATTCACACCCGTGTGTCAAAAGCAATCCAAATGGCATTATTGCAGCATTTCACCTAATGTGCTCAAAATTGTTGTCAAGACATTGTACACCATCCTAATAATTCAAGCCTGGTAAACATTTACAGAAAACCAAGTAGGTTTTACTAAAGGAAAATAATGCCACATGTGCTCTGCCTGCAGAGTAAGGAATCAAACACGGTAACGCTGCTTCCACAGCTTCGCAACATCCTCCAAATTAGCTCGACTGTATAACAGCCCACAGCAAAGTATTAGAACTCAACCTGGTGCGAAAAATTATTTTGCCACAGGCTAAACTTAGTCAAACTCTCTCTCCTTTATCACAAGATAAAAAGTACACACTTGAACTGCTGAGGCTGAGAAGATTACAGTTACTTGCTAAGCCCTGGTATAAGTCTCGGCAGGCAAATGTCCCAAAGTTATGCAACCCAAATCTCCCAATGTGCCTCCCAAAGTTCAATACTTCAGAGTATTTTTTAAAAAATCACAAATACATGTCACATTTTAATTACACTCTTAAACCAACACACATAAAACAACTTTTAAAGCCTGTTAAAAAGAATAATCTACATTCTTCCTTAGATTTAAATTACTCCAACACAGCAATGAAACAAACAAAAAATAACACATTTTTTGCCACAGCCAATGATCTCCTACGAGTATTTGAGAATTTTCTGCATTTGGCCCCTTGAATTGTTCCAGGACTCATTCCTCAAAAAAAGATCTGAATCACAAAAGTGAATGAATTCAGAACAAGAGATCTAACTTCAAAGCAAGATCCTTTTTCAAAGACGCTTTTGGAGGATGTTTTATATTTGGAATACTTAAACTTTCTGGCAAGTAGTCCTGGTTTAATATCGGGTAAGAAGTACTTTTTTTCCTCCTCCTTCATTGAACCTAGGAGGGATGGCAGATTCTATTCTAGGAACAGCTTTGAAGATAAAGAGCTGGCAACAGCACAATTAAAACACAGGCCTGAAGAAACCAAATCCACAGCTCTTACTCGTTATTTTCACATCTACTTGAAGCACGGAAGGATGTTGAAGGAGACTTTCTGAACAAGTGTATGTCATAAACCTGTCTGTAAATCGTAGGACTAAAGCCAAACCTGCTTGCTAAATCTGTAACACATGTGCATTTCTTTCACCTTTAAAAGCTTAACAGGTGAGGAGTTTCAGAAGAACAGTCCAGTTCACCTAGATGTATGACATTCCTGCACCAAGTGTGTCTGGGGGGTTCCTCTCATGCTTTCAATAATACACAACTTAGAATACCTTTTATGTACCACAATTACAAGTAAAACAACTGCTTTCTAAAAAAATTTCAATGCATTACCTATACTATTTTATCAGAAAGGCTTTAATGCAGCTTAAAACCACAGTTAACATTAGTGTCATGTTCCGCTCCTTTCTGCCCCCACTGCAGTAAGGAAACATCACAAAACTGTCAGAGCAGTAGCATATTCTCTCTTCAGATACTTTATTTTCTATATTTATGCACAAAAACTTTGAAAAGGGCAGAGAATTATTTCATCTTTAAATCTTGTCTCTTCTGTTTTCTAGGTCACACCACCTTGTGTATGACAATCACTGATGAAAGCCAGAGCTTGCCAGGCAGCAGCAGCAAACATTTTCACAATCAGCAGGACCAATTGAAGAAAGCAACCCCTTCTAATGAGGATTTAAACCCTATAAATCCCCACACAAACTCATTGCACAGAAATCATAACAACAACATCAACAATAATAGTAATGACATTATGTCCTTGTTTTT